ATTTGAAGGACAAATAACATTCAGTGTTCACTGAAATTATCCAAGTTTTTAACACTGAAGTACATGGGTTTACAATGCATTCTTTATAGCACATAACAAATTTTGTAAAGGGAAACGTGTATCGAAAGTGCTGGGTCTACAACTGACAGGCTGCCAAAGCCATTATATCCTGTGCTGTAATTAAGTATTCAGCAGCAATGAATACTAGAAGAAAATAGCAAAGTAATAATTATACCAATTACAATTGATTAGTTATATTACCATAAAAGATGTTCTCCTTGTGTTATATTCTGTGCCACAAGAAAGCTCTGATACTGAATTAGTTTCCTTTCTTTTGATTTTTTTAATTTTAAAAATATTTTATTTATTATTTGAATTTTTATGTATATGAGTGTATTTCCTGCATGTATGTAAGTGCATCCATGTTAAGCAATGCCTGTGGAGGTCAGAAAAGAGTCAGTTCCCCAGAGCTGAAGTTATGGATGATTGTCAGCTGCCATGTGGGCGCTGGGAACCAGGTCCTCTGCAAGAACATCCGGTGCTCTTAACCGTTGAACCATCTCTCAGTTCTTCCTTACTTTCCTTTCCTTTTTGATGTTTTTTCTTTCCTTTCTTTTCTCCTTCCTTCCATCTTTCCTTTCCTCCCCCTCCCCCCTCCTTTCTTTTCCTTTCCTTTTTGATGCTTTTTCCTTTCTTTTCTCCTTCTATCCTTCCTTCCTTCCCTCCTTCTTTCTTCCTTTCTTTCATTCATTCTTTGACAGAGCCTCACTATGGTCCTGGCTGCCAGACCTTACTATGTAGACCAAGCTGGCCTTGAACTTAACAGAGCTCCACCTGTCTCTGCCTCTCTGGTGCTGGGCTTAAAGGCATGTGCCACCATGTCTGGCCCTTGATTTTTCCATAAAATATTTTTGTATTTGATTATACTCAGTGAATTTAGAAGGATACTAGGAGCTAGAGAGATGGCCCCTCAGTTAAGAGCACTGGCTGCTCTTGCAGAGGACCCAGGTTCAGTTCCCAGCACCCACATGGTGGCTAATAACTGTTGGTAATGCTAGTTCTAGTGGATCCAGTGCCCTCATCTAGCCTCTGAAGGCACTGCATGACACAGGTGCACTTACATATATATAGACAAAACACTCATATACATAAAATAAAATAAATAAAATTTAAGAAGTATTTAGAAGGAACTTCTGTAATTATTCATGATGAAGTTTTATTTAGGTATGCTAGTTTTTGTTATTTTATGGTACTGTAGTTTTTAGATTAAAATCTTTTATTTATGTTATTATTGAGTATGTATATATATGATGTGTCTGTATATGTGTGTGTATGCACCCATGTCACAGTACAAATGTGGAGGTCAGAGGACAGCTTGTGGAGTCAGTTCTCTGGGTTCTGGGATGGAACTCAGGTCATCAGACTTACTCAACAAGTGCTTCTACCCTATGATCCGTCTTACTGGCCCTCTTTTTAAAAAGATTTTATTTATTTTTTGTTTTCTTTTTTTGAGACAGGGTCACACTGTAGCCCCAGCTGGCCTGAAATTTGCTATGTAAATCAGGCTCACCTCAAACTCACAGAGATCTGCTTGCCCCTGCTCTGCTTCCCAGGTGCTGGGATTAAAGGCATGTACCCCCATGCTTGGTAAGATTTTATTTTTACATCTGTGTGTGTGTGTGTGTGTGTGTGTGTATGTGTGTGTACCCATGCATGTGCATATATGTAGATGTCTGAAGAGATCAAAAGAAGGTGTTGGATCCTCTGGAGCAGGAGCTAACAGTTGGTTGTGAGCTACAGACATCAGACATGGGTGCTGGGAATCAAATTCTGATCCTTTGGAAGATCAACAAGCATTCTTAACCACTGAGCCATCTCTCCAGCCATGCCCACACCCATATTTTTAATTTTTAGAGCTTTTATTTTTATTTTTTCTTTATTTCTGTCTTTTTGAGACAGGGTCTCCTTGTAGCCCCAGCTGTCCTGAGACTCACTATGTAGACCAGGCTGGCCTTGAACTCACAGAGATCCACCTGCCTCTGCCTCCCGAGTGCTGGGATTAAAGATGTGCACCACCATGCCTTATTTTATGTGTATGAGTGTACTGCCTGCATGTGTTGTGCAATGCCTGCAGAGTCAGAAGAGGGTGTTGGATGCCTGGAACTGGAGTTAAGGACAGCTGTTAGCCACCATATGGATACTGGAAAATGAACCCTAGTCCTCTGCAAGAACAGACAGTGTTCTAAACAGCTGAGCTATCTCTCCAGTGCCCCCAAATTAATTTTTAAAAAGTCCATACTCAAATTACAAAATGTTAAGGTCTTAATGACAGGGCACTTATGTTGATACTCTCTTTAATTGTATTGAAAAGACTTCTTTCTTTTTTAAATTTTTTTTAATTTTAATTTGTATTGAATTTTTGTGTATTTCATACAGAAAATCATCTTTATACCTCTTTCTCCTTTAGCACCCTCGCACAGGCCCCCACTGGAGTTCACACATTCTGTCATTTGTATTAAGGCCTACTATGTAACGTTAGTGTCCCCAGATGTCCCTCAGTGCAAGTTCATTCACTGGGGTTTAGTCAACCTATCGAGGGTCTCTCCCTTCAAGATCAGCTCTTGTCACCCAGCAGTAATCAGCTGCTAATAATTCTTCAACTAAGATTAGGGCTTACTGTTCATTTCTGCGGTTCTGTGCTGGGTTTTTTGTTTGGTTTTGGTTTTTTTGAGACAGGGTCTCCCTGTAGCCCTAGGTGGCCTGGAACTCGCTATGTAGACCAGGCTGGCCTTGAACTCACAGAGATCCACCTACCTCTGCTTCCCCAGTGCTGGGATTAAAGGCAACTGCCACCACCCCTGACTCCCAACTAAAGCTTTTATTATGACAAAAGGAAAGAGCATATTAGGAGAAAAACAGTTCCTGAACAATTAGTAGTCACAACAGTAAGCTCTGGGTTTATCCCTTAATTCACAAAGATGTGAATATATATATATAT